CCCCCCCCCCCCCTTCAGGACCCTCTCTTAACAGTAATGTGCGTCAGTTGTGTAGCACCAGCGAGTTAACGCTCCACAGAGCGTCTTGTTACATTACAATCGAGTAAAATGCTAGTCTCGTCAAAGGTTCAAAAATGATGAAATCACTCTCAAACTATATTTTTCATTCCTTTGACCAACGGTCACCAACTTCCATACAGAAAGTGCATGCAGAGAGAGAGCACGCAGGTTTGTACTTACAGCAACTGATTTGCCAGTATAACATGCATGTACCAACGAATTTACGGACGGATTTCCTTACTGGACCTTTGGGGGGAAGAGTTTAGAACTGATAGTATATAAGCAAACTAAGGTTTCCTAGCTCCTGCATATACTTTGATAATAAAAGCACTAAATTTACTTATTTAAAATAAGTACTTTGTTTTTAATTTTCTTTATTCCAAAAATGGTGGCATTAATAAAAATTTCAATTCCTATAGAGACAGGATGTCTGTACTCCCCCACAAGCTTGCAACTAGTTAGTCATAGATGCACTATATTTAAATTCTTCAGAGAGATATTGTGTTCTATTTGGGTCTACAATTAAGCCAGGCCAAAACACACAAGTCACACATGAGTATACAGTAATTAATACATTGCATGAAGGTTTATTGTACGATCACTCAGATTAAAATTTTTCAGTAATTGTTCAGCTACCTATACCAGATGTGTAACTGATAGGACTTTGTCTCTTCAAATTTCCCTAGATGTACACATCACGACACATGCATATAAAAATATCAATAAGAAAATATATTATATAGTGTGCACATGAGTATCGATATATTATGTCTATGAAGTTAAATTACATATTCCATTTTCTCGTGCACGTGTTTCAATAAGACAGTGCTCAGGGGATTTTATATATAGATATAGATATATATATATATATATATATATATATATATATATATATATATATATATATATATATATATATATATATATATATATATATATATGTATATATATCAAGAGCCAGCCCCAAGAAATCATAAATCTTCATATATATATATATATATATATTTTCAAGTTTTTTAAAAAAATAGTTTTTAAAAAAGTTTTAAAAGCTTTTAAAAGTGTTATGAAGTTAGGGGTTAGTGGTTAGGGGTTAGGGGTTAGGGGTTAGGGGTTAGTGGTTGGGGTTTCAATATAGTGCATCTATGCCGACTAACTACAGTAGTTGCAAGCATGTGGGGGAGTACAGACATCCTGTCTCTATAGGAATTGAAAATTTTATTAATTGCCACCCTTTTTCTGAACAAAGAAAATTAAAAACAAAGTACTTCTTTTAAATAAGTAAACTTAGTCCTTTTATTATAAAAGTACATGCAGGAATTAGGAAACCTTAGTTTGCTTATATACTATCAGTTCTAAACTCTTCCCCCCAAAGGTCCAGTAAGGAAATCCGTCCGTAAATTCGTTGGTACATGCATGTTATACTAGCAAATCAGTTGCCGTACGTACGTTGCTGAGCGGGCACCAAGATGGCCGCCATGCACTGATAGGTGTTTGTGTCTTTTGTACTTCATAACTTTAATTTACTTATACAACCTATACTTCTTAAACCACAAATCCTATACTAAAGTCGGTAAGATCTTCTTGGATAAAAATTTCTTCCACAAAGTGCGACATTCAAGACAATTTTCACGCGAAGGTTTAGTACGAAAGTCAATAGCGGTATGGACGAAGCACGGTTATCTGCTTGTATCACCCAGAGAATATTCGATCTGCCTGGATATTTGTATTTGTATGGACGTTGAATCGAATCCGGGCCCATATAACGAGAACAACCCAGGAGCAGAATGGAATAGCGAGGTAGTTTGTATACAGAAGTCTATCAAATATACTAGAAGGAATTTGTTTGACCTTAGATCCATTGCATCGAAACCGGACAGTGTGGTTATTGATCACTTAAAGGCACTTAGACTATTTAGATATCGTGGATCACGAGCAGGAAAGAGGCGCCATGAAATATCGAATAGAGGGCAACCAATTACCGTACTTAATCGTGTTGGTAGCAGAAAAACATGTCGTCCTTTAAAAGGAATATGTAGAGAGAATCTGATTCCTATTGCCAGGAATGCGTTGCCTAATAAACGTAATTCAACCTCAGATTTTGCTGTGCCTAAATTCCTTTTGACAAATATTTTGTAGCCTAGTAAAAACTAAAAATCGTGTTAGAGCGGCTGTCGCCCTGGAGTCGGACATGAACGGGAATGATGTTGACACATGCATTGTATCGGAAACAGATCTCAAAGCAAACATTCCGGACAGTTTGGTTTGTATACCTAATTATAACATTTTTAGACGGGACAGAGATTATTCTGGCAGGGACTTGAGAGCCAAGGGGGGAATTGCTATATATGTGAGAGAGAACCTGGATGTTGTGGATATCTACAAGTCGGAACTTTATGAGTTAATATGTTTAACTTTGAGATTGCCTTCAGGGCATATGCTCCTTGTGTGCTGTGTCTACCATCCACCGAGACCAAGATACCCATCCAATGGATTGATGCAATACTTAATTAACATAGTAGACAATGCCCTTGAAAAACAACCTGGCATGGCTATTGTTATTGGAGGAGATGTTAATCAATTAAAAATAAGTGAGCTGTGTCTAATGACTGGATGGGAAGCCCTTGTAGATTTCGTAACTAGAGGTGAAGCAATTTTAGACAATGTGCTTACAAATCGATCGGATCTGTTTGGTAAATGCGTCCCGTATAACATCTCAATAAAAACTGATCATACGGCTGTCATTCTCGCCGCAGGAGTTAAACTGAAACCGGTTCGGAAACGTGTCCGTATTTGGGACTGCAGAAAACATCGAAAAAACGATTTTTATCGAGCGCTGGCTGAAGAAAATTGGGATAATATCTTAAATGCACCTATGTTCATTTGGCAGTGAATGAGTTAGAAAGGACGATTCACATGCATATGGACAAGTGTATGCCATTTAGAACGGTTCGCATGTCATCGCGTGACCCAGTATGGATGACGCCATTAATAAAATCTTTAATGAGAATAAAGTCGAGAATATCATCTAGGAACGTAGACCGAATTGGTGAAATCAATAGGAGAATATTGGATATAAAATTACTTTGCTAATCTGTGCCAAGACCTCATATGTGGAGCCGACTCCTATGGAAATTTGTGAGGATGTGAATGCTCCTGAGATCTCGGAAATACAAGTGTGGAATAATCTAAGGCATTTGAAGAAATCAGCTACTGGTCCAGACTTAATACCATATTGGGTATGAAAGGAACACGCGGAAATAATGACACCTATTATCCATAAAATCTGGAATTTATCCTTAAGATCTAGTACTTGGCCTTCATCGTGGAAAAGAGCAAACGTTAATCCATTGCCCAAAGTTAATATGCCAAAAGACAAAACCGAATATCGAGGGATCAACATAACACCAGTGATCGCACGCGCGCTTTCGAGAAATCGTGTTATCGTGTTATTGTTGAACAATCTTTAAGTTCTAGTCAGTGTGCATATCGGAAAGGAGGAAGTTGTGAAGACGCACTGTTGAGTATGCAACATGAGATTTATAGGTATTTGGATAATCCAAACTGTAAAGCTGTTAGATTTTTCACGATGGACTTTAGCAAAGCATTCGACAGTGTAAGACACGAACTCTTGTCCTGTAAACTCAAACGTTTACCGTTAAATCCATACATTTTTAATTGGTATTTAAGTTTTCTGAAAAATCGACAACAACGAGTGGTTTATAATAATTTTCAGAGAGAATGGAAATTTGTGAACAAGGGTACAATCCAGGGAAGCGTGAGCGGACCGTATCTGTACAATGTTTTTTGAACGATTTGGAATTAGATTTGGATGGCAGACCCGCTCTCTTCAAGTATGCGGACGACTCCAACACGATTGTTCCAATGTGGAAAAATAAAGAATGTCGAACTGATTTGGTGGGACAATTTTTAATCTGGTCCCAGGATAACGATATGAAGTGCAATCCAGAAAAATGCAAAGAACTGATTTTCCGAAAGAAAGGATTTAATCAAATCGTTTCACCTGTTTATAATATTCCGCAATGCGCAGATCTTTCCGTACTGGGAATGACATTTCAAGAAAATTGTAAATATAGTTTACATATAAAAGCTAAATTACTCAAAGCAAATAGATGCTTGTATGTAATAAGATCTTTGCGTAAGGAAGGTGCCAGTCAGGAAAAAGTAAACAAGCTTTTCAATAGTTTGGTTAGCTTTGGTTTTACCTGTTCTTAACTATGGTCTTTCAGTTTATGGTGCGTCAGATTCTGACCTGTCTGTAGTGCAAGCTTTTTTAGATAGATGTTTTAAAAGACACTATGTCTCCTATATTATATTAACATACGCGAACTTTTAGAAGTTAATGATTAAAAAACTTTATAACAAATGTATTTCAGATATTGAACATCCTTTAAACAAGATTTTACCTGAGAAGAAGACAACTAATTACCGCCTTAGAAAGCAGAATAGAATTTATCCTAAGATTAACACAAATAGATTTAAAAACACCTTTGTAAATAGACTTATTTTTAAATATAACTTATAGAATAATAATTATTGTAACTTAAGATATGTACCTTTTATCTTAAGACGCCTAAAAGATTGATTGATTGATTGATTGATTGATTGGTTGATTGATTGATTGATTGATTGATTGATTGACAAACCTGCATGCTCTCTGCATGCATAACTTTCTGTGTGGAAGTTGGTGACGTCATGCTGGGATTTCTTAATACAATTGGGCGATAAAACATGGATTTTCCCCCTAATATTCCTTCTTTCTCACTTTATATGTAACTTTCTTAAGACGTTCGCACGGGGCAATTGATAAAACTAGAAAAGGGAATAGTCCGCGAATAGTCGACGAATAGTACGAATAGTCGTCGAATAGTCGACGAATAGTGCAATAGAGACTTTCCAAGGCCTTGCACCACTGCTGCAGAACTAAATTTAACGGGGCGGGGGGGGGAGGCTTTATTGACAAACATGAAATCATGAAAACATTCGTTGACGATAAAAATTACGGGAACCGCTATGTATTTTAATACGGTAAATGATTGTTGGATTACAAATTTCTTTTCAGCCAACTATTAATGGACGATTTGTTTAATTAAGGCCACCTTAAAGAAGCATAAGGATATAGGCGCTTATCGCTTAATACGTACAAGGCGGTCGTATACTTAATCTGATATAACACACTTGTTCTATATATCACTATAATGTTGTCATTATATTAGTCATTATATAATAACTACAGTGACTGCCTCGTCCCTCGTCGCTTCTGTTGGGAATAGAGATCAGTGGAAAAACAATGGGAGCACGGGGCTTAATGGGAATGCGATAGAACGGATAACGGATGAGGGACTGTGGAAGAGTCGGCTTTAGTGAAACACGGAATTTGATTGGTTAATAGCCGTGCAGGATCAGGCTATCATGCATGAGGAATTAATATGCCTGCGCGGGATTTTCGCGGGATTCTCAAACTGTCATAATTACCAAATGGTTTTCCAAGCTGGATCACGTGATCCATGCACTTGGGATGTTGCTCGACTTTCGGAAAGCGTAAAATACACTCGCCTGCGGCTCGAGTATTTTTACGCTTTCCGAATGCAGGGAGGTCGTAATAGGGGTGGGGGGGGTGGGGCGTGTAACACCCCAGCAATAATTCAAACGTTGGTCAAAGTTGGTCAAAATGGAATTCAAACTTGCCCTAAGTTGGTCAAAATGGAACTGGTATTTGCTTAAATCAAAGGTAAAACTCGGAAAAATATGGTCAAGGTTTGGGATAAAAGGTGGTCGTGGTTGATAAAAGGGGGCACCGGCTTCAAGGGACACTTTATGATATTGAAAAGGGAACATAAGCCTGCACGGAAAACCATTCCGTATTCCTTTATTATCAATGAGAGGATAGTTAGCACGTTCTAAGGGCACTCCATCCTCTACAACTATGTAGATTCCTTCCTCCGGTCGAAGTCGCTTCCCTTAGGCCGCCATAAACAGTTTTGTTATGATGCTCAAATGAAATGTGAAACCAAGAACTGACAAAAATAGCAACTGCTCGTGCGCACGATCAAAGACGCAAACCAATTTAACAGGCTCATGTTTTGGCATGGAAGCTTAATTGGATTTTACGCCTTTTTTCTAGGCGACTATATCAGTCTAAAGTTTCGGGATTAGATTTTATTCCTTCGATCTTGGCCACTATATCAGTTTAATGTTTTAATGAGTCAAACTAGAACTTGCAAAGGTAAGTGTTGCTCACGTGGATCTATATCTTGGTATATTCCAATGCATGACTAAAAACATGCAGTCATATCAATCAAGGTTTTTATCATTGAAACCTATACCCTCATGCACCCCACACCCCTTTATATTACATCGCAAACTACTGTTTCAGTGGTATTTTCCACCTGCATCACAGAGTAGAAACATACAGAGACATAACTAGTGTACCCACATTTTTTGTGCGCATGCTCGGCAAGTTACTAGATGCATGCATCTGATTGGATGACGACCTGATGACGACTCACCTTAAACTTGCCGAACACGCGCAATTGATCATTTTTCGCCCAGTCGCCTGAAAAAAAGTGGGTACATGATAACGTAATCTTCTGCAGTGTTTACGATGGTCAGTTACGTCTCTGTATGTTTCTAGTCTGTGCCTGCATGGAACAGTGCGAACGCTTCAGCAGACGTCTGCCGACTTGGATAGTTGGCAACTTAAGTGATTCTAGAAGGCGAATGGTTGAGTATATTGTTTGATCCACTGTACGTACAAAAATCCGGAAATATTAAATAACGCTAGGACCAGAAAGGGACACCTGTATATAAGCCTCAATTGAACGTAAAACTGCACCTTAGACGTATCGTAAAACGTTTCAAAATCAATTATTCCGCGAGATAATCACGGATAAACTTTGTCTTTGAATGAAATCAGTTCATATCATACAATTCGCTCGTTTAATTTACACTGTAAATTATGATTTAAGAAACTTGCACCTACACTGAAATAAAGTGGAAAATAGTGTATATGGCAACAATTCTTTGAAAGTAGAAATGCATAAAATTTGAATTCAGTGTTGAGACCACCCATACAATATGGCCACAAATGTAGGGCATATAGATCCGCTATCCTGCCTTTATCCTGGGTGTAAATAACCGGAGTAATTAATATCCTCGCTTCGGGTTTACGTGGATGCATGTAGTTTGTCGGCTAACAACATTAACACACTAATAATAGTCAATTTATTTGAAAGCGTTATTTAATATTTTGAAAATAAAAGCTGAAGCAATACAACTGCTAGCTAACCTGCACTCGTCGTATATTTAATATATTTAGTTAGAGGCGATTGTCCCTTATTCCACTACTGGTGTTTGAGAATTTAATTAAGGATTACGTATTTTGTGAACAGAGTGAGGCATATTTTGCATGGTAAAGTTTTATTAATAATTGCCGGCTGAAAGAAGGAATCCACCAAATTGAGTATATCGTCCGGCTCCATATACAGCGTAGCTACTACTTCTCTCCAACCTAACCCAGAATGTTTGGCCCTTTGTCAGAGTCACAAGAATGGTTTTCGTTAGCTGATCATACTTTTTGTGGTTTGCAAGGATTTGACTGACAGCAGTACTCCCTTTTATCAACCTAACGTAAGAGCTGTAGCCATTGTACTGAAGGTATGTGACAGTAAACTGGTATAAACCTGCAATAGGTGCAGTAAATTTTCCAGTGCTTGGGTTATAACCGTTTCCAATGTTCAGAGTAACGCGGTTAAATTTAATGGCCCCGCTGGCGTAGTTAGGTCCAATTCTACCTGTTGTCAGCGTTGCTTGGAAAGCAACTACAGTCTGAAATAAAGAGTACAAAATTCTGCGTCAGTCCATAATCGATTCACTGGTCAATTAATCAGTTATCTGTTTTTTTTCTAGAATCACAATTTATAGGTTCTGAGTAATATCCCAACATGTCCATTATTGGAATTAGCTTAGTCGGCAATAGATAATTGAGGGTCTTCCAAAAGTCTCTTGAGCTTGCACATACCGCCAGTGAATTAACTGTTAAGTTATGTATCATGCATAAATTGTGGAACATGCTAATTATAGGCAGCAGTTCAGTTTTACTCTGCCTGGCAAATCAAAACAACAGTTGCTAACCTCACTCTTAACCAAATTTCATCCAAGTTTAACTAAAATTGAATGAATTTGTCCTTGGGTAATGTCCATTAGTCCCACAAATGTTGCATTAATACGTTTCATATTTATATGTTTAAAGAAATGATGATGAATAGTTTGAAGTCGTGCTCTTCATTTTTGTATTTATTTCGACAGTTAATTTCTTTCAAAAGGTTTTGAAAAGTTTTTGAAAATAGGAAGAAAAAATATTTGAAAGTCGTTGAATATTTTTGGTCTTGGAGACTACGAACCCTGTGAATTGTGGAACTGAAGTTTGTACGGAAAATGTTTTTGACAAGTCGGCCACAATGGGAAAAAGTCGGGTAACTACCCCC